CCACACGTCACGACTTTAACAAGCGGATACAGCCATGAGTCTTTTTGGGAAAGATGCAACACACCTTTTCACACCTGAATTTGGGGATCCTCTGCCATCCCTCCTTGCAGATCCTCTCCAGTTCTGTCAGGTTGGATGGTGTTTTAGGTCTCTCCAGAAATACTCAATTGGGTTTAAGTCAGGGCTCTGGCTGGGCCATTCCAGAACAGTCATGGAGTTGTTGTGAAGCCACTCCGTTGTTTTAGCTGTGTGCTTAGGGTCATTGTCTTGTTGGAAGGTAAATCTTCGGCCCAGTCTGATGTCCTGAGCACTCTGGAGATGGTTTTCGTCCAGGATATCCCTGTGCTTGGCCGTATTCCTCAAGAGCAGTCATCCAATCCCTGCACCTGAAATCACCTCCAAAGCATGATGCTCACCACTATGCTTCATTGCTGTTTTGGACAGTTGATGAGCAGTGTCTGGATTTCTCCACAAATACTGCTTCAAATTAAAGTCATAAAGTTCTATCTTGTTGTCATCAGACCAGAAAATCTTATTTCTCATCCTCTTGAAGTCCTTCAGGTGTTTTTTAGCAAATTCCATGCGGGCTCTCATGTGTCGTGCCACACTGCCATAAAGCCGCGACTGTTGGAGGGCTAAACTGATGGTTTACTTTCTACACCCCCCCCCCCCCCCCCAAGTCCAGGAAGGGTTCTGGTCATCCCAAACGTCTTCCATTTAAGGATTATGAAGGCCACTGTGCTCTTAGAAACATTAAGTGCACCAGAGATCTTTTGTAACATTGACCAGATCTGTGCCTTGCTATACAATTCTGTCTCTGCGCTCTCCAGGCAGTTCCTTTGACCTCATGATTCTCATTTGCATAGTGAGCTGTAAGGTCTTATATAAACTAAAGTGTGGCTTTTCTTATCAAGTCCAACCAGTATAATCAAACACAGCTGGGCTCAAATGAAGGTATAGAGCCATCTCAAGATGATCAGAAGAAATGGACAGCACGTGTCAAATATAGGAGTCTTACAGCAAAGGGTCTGAAACAAGTGTGCCGCAAGCCTGCGTTTGAGTGAAGGTCTCGGCCGTTAGATCGCCCCCTGGGGGCTTTTATTTGAGACTTGAGCCCAAATAAAAAAAATTATTACACTTGCAATAAAATGTCCCTAAAGATGGTTCTGGTCGATTAAGGCACTGGTTATTGTGCTGAAATAGGTGCAGATCTTCATTTTTGTAAACAGTTTGTTTTTAGCAGTAATTTAATGCTGGGCGTGTCATCGTGATTGACAGTTGTGATTGACAGTTTCTCAAAGCAGCGCGTCTGAGCTTCGGCAGGAGACTGAAGTGTTATTATTCGATTTCTGTGTTATTTTACCATGACAAAATGAGTTCAGCAGTAAACTACAGTTTCTGACATACATGATCTGGTGGAACACTGTTTATTTGCTAGGGTCAGGGCTTTTTTCGGGCTTTATTAGTTTGTTGATACATGCCTAACCACCCAGATAGCAAAATACACTCGGGCAAGTTCCAGCTAGATTTTCGCCTGCCGGAGACTTACCCCTCAGAGTGACTACCTCTGCTGGACCTACTCCGGATGCCTGGACTCACTGCCCGATTCCAGCCCGAGTCAATCGAGCCAGATGCGGCGGCCAAGCGAGCCGTCGCTGCCGCATGCGAGCCGAAATCAGCCCGTGACGCCGCGAGTAGGTTATGCGCTGCGGCCCGGAGCTGGCGCGATTGAATATATAAAAGCATCATATTTGTTAACGTTATTACATCCATTTGTGTTGATATGACAGCAAACGCATGCTGAGAAGTTCGGGGGGCGTAGTTGATTTTACATAAAGCGTTTGGTTGGAAGTTCGACTCCGCTCATTTTCGCGGCTCCTCCTTTGGCTCCATCAGACAGTCCTTCTGCACATGTGAAGGCTCCAATTTCAGCAGTCTTTGCGACAGTTTGTGCCCGTCAAGCAGGCGTTTTGCCCTCAAGGCGTTCAATGGGAAAAGGGGCTGTCGTGTCGTCCATATTTTTTACAGTCATTGGTCTGAAAGTCATGTGATATTTCAGTTTTTCTTTTTTTTTATAAATCTGAACAAATATCAACAACCCTACTGAAAAAAAAAAACAGCTAAAACCAGCCTAGGCTAGTTGGCTGGTTTTAGCTAGTCGACCAGGATGGTTTTAGAGAGGTTTTGGCCATTTCCAGCCTGGTCTTAGCTGGTCAGGCTGGGAGATGACTAGCTAAAACCAGCTTGACCAGCCTAGCCAGGCTGGGAGCCCAGCCAAAACCAGCTATGTCCAGCTTAAACCAGGCTGGTCAAGCTGGTTTTAGCTGATCATTTTTTCAGCCTGATCAGCTAAGTCCTGCAGGCTGGGAATGGCTGGAAACCTGCCTGGAAATGGCCAAAACCCCTCTAAAAACAGGCTGGTCAACCAGCTAAACCCAGCCACTCAGCCTAGGCTGGTTTAGCTGGATTTTTCAGCAGGGAAGTCAAGTATTCAAGTATATTGACAGTTTTTTTTTGTCAATATAGGCTACTGTGTGTACATCAATGAGGGAAAACACAACATTTTAGCAAATAGCTGCCATATAAAAAAGAATAGAAAACGTAAGGGGGTCTGAATACTTTCCGCAGGCTATCCACTGTATATAATTATACTTCAAAACATGACGCCAAAAATAAGGAGAGCTACAACAAACGAGTTACTATTGTAAAAAAAGGCGGTAAATTACTTCAAGAGGCTACCATTACCTCAGACACGATGGAATATATCGACGAACAATAATTCCTCCTTCCAAATTATCTCGGCATCATCAGTTTTGTCCTGTAATGCTCTAGCATAGACTGTGGGCCTACTTACAGATGCCACAAGTGTCGCGCTGCCTCCATCTAGTGGTTTGGCAGCATAAAAACATCAAGCGGAGAGAAAATGTGAGACCAGAAACTGGATGCCACAAGAAAGCCAAACCGACGTCAGATGTTTGACAATAAAGAGTTTTATTTGTTTATATTAAATCAAAAGGAAAGCACTATAACATACTTCACAAACCAAACGCCTTGCGGTGTAGAGCAGTGGTTTTCAATGCTGGTCCTGGAGACTCACAGCTCTGCACTTCCTGTAAATCTCTCATTACCTCAACCTGCTGTGTTAACTAAGCAAGACACACACAAAAGTGCCTTGCTGTGGATCCACGGACAGTGATTTAAAACCACGGCTATAGTAAAACTGTAATATAAGAAAAAATATATGGCATATTACAAAAAAAGGAAGTAACACTAGTGGACAAGAAAATATTTTTAAATAATATAACTGTACATTTTTTTAAAGGTGTCAAAAAATAACCAAACATAAAATGAAAAGCAAAATCCTTCTATAAACAGAAGAAATAAACTATGTTGGTATGAAGACTACATTAAAAAAAGCCAATAAACACCTTTTTTTGCTATTAGATCACAGGGCCAGGAAATGGAAAAAAAAAAAAAAAAGAAAGTATCACAGTACACTCACAGGGACAGCAAGTGGTCAAGAGAATAAGGTGAGAGAGAAAGAGAGAGATGGGAACAGATTACAACCAATCAATAGACCACTCCAACTCTTAAAATGTTACGTCACAGTCCATATTTATGAAAAACTTCCAATATTAAATGGAGAAAATAATAGATGAGTGAGATGATAAAAAAAAAGATGTTATGTAAAGAGAAGCTGCTTTTTTGCCAAAACATGCTTAACAGCCTTGTATTACCCTTAAACATCATGATCTAGAATAGATGCTTCAAATACAACTAAAGAGCAACATTATTAAAGAGCATGAATCTGCAGCTGCAAGGGGGAAAGCCAAATCTGGTAATGGGGAACAGATTTACCCAAGATTAAAGGTATAGTTCACTCAGAAATGAAGATTTACTCATGCTCAAGTGGTTCTAAACCTTTATGAGTTTTTTTTTCTTCTGTTGAACACTAAAGAAGATATTTTGAAGAATGCTGAAAGCCTTTAACCATTGACTTCTACAGTAAAAAAGCAAATGCTATAGAAAGTCATTGGGTTTCCAAATTTCTTTAAAATATCTTCTTCAGTGTTCAACAGAAGAAAGTCAAACAGGTTTGGAACAACTGAAGGGTGAGTAAATGATGACAGAATCGTTAGTTCTGGGAGAACTACCCCTTTAAAGAGTACAAACATGTTCCCGGAGAGTTTATCTACAAGCCAAATTAAACACATCCAAACCAGCTAATCAAGGTCTTCAGATTCACTAACAGCACGTTCCATTCCTCTCATCCCTGTGCCCTAATCCTTTTAAAGGGTTCACCCCCCAAAGTAGCTTTGAAGGGATTAGAGCATAGGGATGAGTCCTTCTGAATGAAACACCAATCAACTTTCGCTATGCAAAACATCATAGGGGCCAAAAGTCCATTATCAGCTGTACCCTGCAAAATCCTTAATTCCAAAGGGCCCTATGAAGTGGCCAGTTTGAGCACTTCAGTTTGGAACAACACTTTAATATGGCGGCCCTGATTGTTTTCCCTCAGAAGTGCTCTTCGTTAGGTTAATTGAGGGAGGTGGGAGGGATTGGGGGTGCTGTTTCCTATTTAGAGCATCCTGTAAACCTCTAGATGGGTGGAGGAGGTGAAGTAATAGTTCATCCGCTAATTAGCATTAAGTGATTCCAAATCTTTAAGAGATTCTTTATTCTGTTGAACAGTAAAGATGTTTTGAAGAATGTTGGAAACCTGTAACCATTGACATGCATTCATTCTATGTCTTGTCGGCTTAGTCTCTTTATTAATCCGGGGTCGCCACAGCGAAATGAACCGCCAACTTATCCAGCACATTTTTTCGCAGCGGATGCTGTTCCAGCCGCAACCCATCTCTGGGAAACAACCACACACACACACTCATACACTACAGAAAATTTAGCCTACCCAATTCACCTGTACCACGTCTTTGGGCTGTGGGGGAAATGGGAGCACCCGGAAGAAACCCATGCAAACATGCAAACTCCACACAGAAACACCAACTGAGCAGAGGTTCGAGCCAGCGACCTTCTTGCTGTGAGGTGACAGCACTAACTACTGTGCTACTGCGTCGCCCCCATTGACATGCAGAGTAGGAAAAACAAATGCATGGTAGTCAATGGTTACAGGTTTTCAACGTTTTTGAAAAAGTTAAAGAAACAAACAGGTTTGTGACACGTAAAATGCGAGTAAATGATCAGACAGAATTCTCATTTTTTGGATGAACCCTCCTTATAAAATCTGTTCAACTATAAAAACAGGGCTGGACACCCACAGTATAAATAGAGTTGTTTTTAAAGATACGGTTCTATGCTGTTAGGCAAATTTATGCAGGCAAAATCCATTTATTTTATTAGGAATCCGTGCATAATGGTGAAAGACTTCTATTGGTTTACAGGCCTAATGAACCAATAGAAAGAGACTTTGGTTTGAAAGAGACTTCTGTGTGAGCAGTGCTTCATGCATCACTACACTCTTATAGACACTGGATCTTTTTATGCCTACAATAAAAACTGCACCTTCAAGGGATAGTTATGGCAAACATGAAAATTTGCTCAGCATTTCCTCACCCTCAAGAGTTTCGAAAAATGTATGACTTGTTTGTTGAACACAAAAGATGATATTCTTGTTGGCAACCAGACTTTTATAGTAGGAAAATGTCTGATTAGCAACACAAGTCTTTGAATGAAACATAAGAATGAAGGAAAGGCTGAGTAAATGACAAAACACTCACTTCTGGGTGAACTGTTGCTTTAAATCTCTGCTTGTATCAATCCTCCTCTCATCTTGCCTACTTGGACCAATTCTTAAAAAAAAGGGCAAGAATTTTAGTCAAAACTACTCATTTTGACCACAACTCTGTAATATGACCTGGATGAATGCATAAACATACACCAATGGAGAAAATAAAAAAGAACGAACGAAATTGTGGACATGGCACACAGATAACGTTGCTATTGCTTTCTATTTCCAACTGCAATAGAAAGCCACACAGAGAACAACAGAAAGAAGAGTGTGTTTCGGATCATCACAACAGTTTCTCTGGGAACAATTTTGGATCTGGCAGTCAAGAGGCAGGATTTCAGCACAGAGCCACTCACGATATGGTGAAAAAAGAAAATGAAGTACATTCCTGAGCTATACTTAGACATCTTTTCTTCATCTCAAAATATTTGGTCATTTGAATCTAGTCATTCACAAAACAGACTGCATACATTTCAAAATCCTCACATGCATGACATGCGGAGAAACCTAACAAAACATCTCTGCGTCATCGCAAATAATAAAACAAAAACACCTGAATTTGTTTCCGTTTTGTTCAGATCAGTGCAAACATGAGCAATAACAACGATACATGTGTCCCACGTCCACAAAACACACATTTTAAATCCCCCCCCCCCCCCCCCCCCCTGTAAAAACCCCTCACAAGGATCAGAGCTGCAAAGAGAGGGCCCATGCTGAACAACGATGAAAAATACCATCACAACAAACAATCGCTCACGAAAGTAGACATCCACAACAAAAGTTAAAAAACAACGAGAAAATGAACAAGTACAAATACAACTGACATATTAGAAGCCGCATAAGAAGTCTGTATAAAATCTGAAATAAGCACAAAGATATAGTAAATATACAAGTAAAACAGTTCCTTTTCATGGTCTAGAGTGTTCCAGAGACAGTCCTGCGCTAAAGTTCTGCATAGCCAAAGCTTCTTATCGCTAACTTCTGGACTGGATCAGCATCAGCAAGATACAAAGGTTGTCGTTTTTTTTTCTTTCTTGAAATCTTGTCGATTTATACCAAAATCATAAAAATTTCAGCGCCTACTCACAATTCATAGTTTTTAAACTTTATCTTTGTAAACAGTTTGCCCTTTTTTCTGTGTCAAAAATACATTCTAGTCAAGACAGAAAAATTGTGAGGCATATATTTATATATATATTTATATATATGTGGCAAAGCTCTCTTTTATAACTTTTTTTCTTTTTATACAAAACAAAAAAAATATGCAAAATAATGCTCTATACACACGATCTAGTATCTTCCCTCCATTTTTTTTTCTAGTACTCGACTGCAGGAGAAGAGGCGCGATTCACTGAATATTATCGTCTGAAGAAGCAGACTGGCCACACCTGAAGGACGGACTAAGATTTCACATGCGGGCAGCAAGGCGACCTCTGATTGGTCACAGCATTATAATGCGGTTAGCGGTAGCGCATGCTCTGAACCTCAGACAGTGACACTGTTGGTTATTTTAGATGTGTCTGTTCAGTAGAAGACTGAGCGCGTTCTGGTTCTTCTGAAACAAGGGTCGGTTGGCGTGGCAAGAAGCGGGGGGAAGGAAAGATCAACCCATCCTGCTGGTGTCTCGTATCACAGCATTTGGTGCATCAATATGGGCTGGTATTTCTCCGGCTGTCGACTCCTTCTGTTCCTCAACACGTCTTCATTTCCAGGAGCATCCCATCATTTTTGCAGCTCTCGAAATGTCATCGAAAGCTGGTGTGACCTTTTGATAGCATCCAAAAGTACGGTGTAAAACAAGCACATTCATTCATTTATTTAGATTTGGGGGTCGCATGGCTTTGAGTTAGCAATGCAACAGCCTGAACCAGTCATCGTTGGTTTGGCATTGCTATGGCTTCGGTGTTCTGATTGTCACTCGGCACGATGAGTAGATGCACGGCAGAATGTTTGTTTGTTTCATTGTCTTTGCAGGTCAAAGCGTGCGTGAAGCGTCGAGATTGGTTTCCCACATCTGCTGAGTGATGATGGCGTCTCTAGAGGCAGATGGAGAATGCTGAGCAATGGCGGACACTGAGAGACGACGGCTGGGTGAATCAAGCCTGGATGATTCACCTTACACCATGTAGTGTTTATGCATGCGCTTTGTGCTGAAGAAAATGTCAAATGTAAAAAAGAAAAAGGGATGAAAAAAAAGTAGAAATCAAGAGTGCTAAAGTTTCTGTGCTTTAGTCGTCACGTTCATGGACTTGTATGTATTTGTGTGTACATGTGAATGATGTGGCTTTCTAAAGTCTGTCACTGCGAAAGCTGTCCTCTACTGAGGGGTCAGGCAGGACCATGTCGGGGTCACTGAGCATGCTTAGTCCGTCTAAACTGAGCGGCTCGATGCGCAGCTCATCCTCAAGTGGGAAAACTCCCTCCGAGTCCAAACACTCCGGCACTGCAGACAACACACTGCTGATGTCCTTAGACAGGCTGGGATTGGAGTCATCTGAGAAAGAAAAATCAAAACATCAGTAAAAAGACGTTTAAATTACATTTAGATTATTTCAAGGAGCAGTTAACACTATGTTGGACCCCCCTGCAATTTTAATCCTAGCTAGATTTTTGAGAGCAGCGTGGTGCAAGGACAATAACTGAGAACCATTGATGCCTTGATCACTTAACTAGCACCTTAACGCCCTGGCAGTGGCCAATAGCTTTGGTTTTAGATTTAACTTCATTACATTCATTCATTCATTCATTTTATTTTATTTTCGGCTTAGTCCCTTTATTAATCAGGGGTCACCACAGCGGAACGAACCACCAACTCATCCAGCATATGTTTTACACAGCGAATGCCCCTCAAGCCACAACCCAACACTGGGAAACAGCCATACACTCTTGCATTTACACACATTCAGTACACTACTGACAATTTAGCTTATTCAATTCACCTATAGTGCATGTCTTTAGACTGTGGGGGAATTCATAACATTAATGTTTGAGTTAATATTTACAATTTGAACTGTTTATAAGTTAAGCGAGCTTTAAATACTATAATAAAAACAAGCAAATACTGAGTTGTTTCAAGAGTTATGGCACTCTTTTAATATACGAAAACATTTCTAAAAAGTGTGCAACAGTAACTTTGAATGGGGTATATGTACAGCTAGTGTTTTTTCCCATATCGATTCCTTTTACAGCATCTATGTTGTAATGCAATTAAAATATTATCAGTTAAACAGCATTCATCAAGTTGTTCAAACAAAAATGAGATGAAAGGCCTTTTAAAAGGCAAGCGCCGTCAGGAGCAGCAGCTGAGTGCAGAAGCTCTATTGAATATACCGGGGTAAAATAAATGCTCAAATTTTAAAGACATGGAATGGAGCAATGTCATTTAATGCAGTGCTTCTTGTACAATCTGAGACCAACTTCATATCATATATCAATCAGGCAGTGAAGATCATTGACTTTTTAAGAAAACTGACCCTAAATACGCTGATTTTGTAACGGCTTACAGTTTACCAGAAGCGCTCGAACTGGGTTACTTCTGCATATACATGTAACCTATTTGTTGTTGATTTTGTGAATAAGAATGCAATTAAATCACATGCTTAAATGTAATCAATGTCCAGCACCAATATATATTATAAACATATATATCTACAGAAGCTATACAATATTATATTTGAGCATATACATTTGTCAAAACGGAAGCCAAATCTGGAGCTTATCTAACAGAATAACTTACGATAACAGTCCAAAAATTAGTCCAGCCAAATTTATGTTATAGAAAAATATTAAAAAACAAATAAAAAAAAGAGGAAAAATCAAAAGAAGCAAAAAAAGAACAAATTTAGTTGAAATTTTGTAGGTTATATATATTTTTCAAAATATTTTGCTTGAATTTAATTGTATTATCTTTTAACTTCTAAATATGACTAAAATATTATTTTAATAAATGTATCTGTTTAATAAATCTGTTTTGTTTAAATGCACCAAAATACATTGCATATATTCATTGACAAATGGATACAAATATTTATTATCAAAATGGGCTGTGCTCAATTATGCTGAGCATTGTATATATACTATATATAATACAGTATATGCACCTGTAAGGATGATGTTGGGCACTCCTCCTCCTCCGCCTCCACAATTGGAGTAGAGCATGTTTTGCCTCATCTGAAAGTGGTCGTGCAGGTTGCCATGACTGCCACCCAAACCCATGAGTGCAGCCTGAGAGCAGTAGAGGTTGGAGGACGGGTCAAATCCTCCCGCCATAGAGCTCATCACATTCTCCAACATATTATACTGATCTTGCTGTTTTAACACAAACAAAACACGTGTTACACTCTAGAACACAAAAGACCAACATTATCAATGAACTTTTATTAAAACTTTATTATTAACAGACACTATATAGTGCCTAATAGTCGTTAGGTAATATAGTTAATATTTTAAATATTTTTCATATATTTGTTATTAGTTAACAGACTGAGAGCAAATGTCTACTCATTTGACATAATGTGTTTGTAAATATTTGCTTATGACCCATTGTGACCATATTACATAATTGTCTTTCGGATGAAACGTTAAATCGAGGTCCTGACTCTCTGTGGTCATTAAAAACCCCATGGCACTTCTCGTAAAGAGTAGGGGTGTAACCCTGGTGTCCTGGCCATTAGCCCTTAACCATTATAGCCTCCCAATCCTCCCCATCCACTGGCTCTATCAATGTCTCTTCACTCCATCTATAGCTTGTGTGTTGTGAGCACATTGGCACCGTTGTCCTGTGGCTGTCTTTGCATCATCCAAGTGGATGCTGCACACTGGTGGTGGTGTGGCGAGACCCCCCTCATGATTGTGAAGCGCTTTGGGTGTATGGCCATACACAATAAATGCGCTATATAAATACACACATTACATTACTTTACCTTTTAACTGTTAAGCGTGGCTGGTTGTTCATTTTTCTGTTGTGTTTCAGATACAATTTAAAAACAATCTTTGTTAGTGACTTTGAGACTTTTGGAACCGATTCCCATGAAGTTACTGAACGATTAATGGTAAATATTTAAAAAAATTATTTACAAGCAATGAAATGTTTCAATTTTAAGTACAAATAAATCCATAATTAGTAAATCTACGGTAGAAGTCTGTAGCCAGTAAAAAGTTCAGTAGTGCTAAAAAGAGCAGTTCCCATAAAAATCATAAATGATTAGTAAACAATTTTAAATATTGTTTAATGATTAATAGTTTTAACAAGACAGAGGACTGCAAAAAAATAAAAAATAAAAATAAAAAAACAACACAACAACAACAACAACAACTAGCTGATAAATGACTTTTAAATATGTAAGTGCAGATAAACTTGCACCTGAAAATTGTAAAAATAAATAAATAAAATAAATGTAAGTGTATAAACTGTCAGACTGTGGTTATTTAATCCACAGTGTGTGGGAGTGTGGGAGCTACTTCAAAATATTTAAAAAATAATTTGCAAATGTAAAAAAAATGCACTTGATGATACTTAAATCAATTTATTCTAATTAATCGACCAGTTTTATGACATGTCCAAGAACTGTAATGTACAATAAGTTGTTATTCCTTTATTTTAAATCTGTTAATAACCATCTGAAAATGTGATATAGTGCATAATCATACAAAAATTGGAACTTTTAAATAACTTTTGCAAAAATTTTAATTAATGAAAGTGATTAAGTAACATTTAATGTGTTTATTAGCAAACATTTATGAGCACATTAACTTCAAGCTATTTAAATACATATTCACTATGCATTATGCGAATAATTTATTAACGAAAGTTATAATGAGCTTTGAATTATTAGTATGTACTTTTTTAAAGCCTGTATAACATTTGTAAGCAATACATATTTTCATTTATGTTAATTACTACTGAAAATCATTAAGAATGTTATATATTGCACAAAAAAAAAAATGTTTGTTAATAATTTAATACTGATATTCAAGTCTGGAAAAGAGGGTCAACTTTGGAGTGCCCTAAAGGCACGTTTACCTGATAGGCTGAACATTTTGACTGACGTCCAGAGAACTGCTGCTCCATAAAAGGATCATTAAAAAACCCAGCCATGCTGTTGTGCTGTGGGCAAAAAAAAGCAAAAGAAGGGTGTTAATATTTAACACTATATTTGTATAGTAAGCAACTTTTGACTTTTTGGTGCCAGTTAATCAGGAATTGACGATTTTGATCTCATTGACTCACTGGAAGGAAAAGGGGCTTTATTTGCACGTTTTTTGTGATATTTCAGTTTTTGCCCATAAATTTAATTCACATTTTTGGATTGAAACATTTTAGATTTGTGTCACAAAACCTGTAAGACATTTTTAAATATAATCTGAGCGATTTCTGTATTGCCTCTATTGAAAGTCTAATCAAACAAAACACATTAATATCCAACTAAAGAGACACTATTAATGCGCCCCCCTAATATAATGGTTGGATACATGTAAATGTATTATTTTTGAGACTGATCAGGCTACATAAAAATTTTGCAAACATTGTTTGTTACAGATATTCACTTCTGTTATTAAGTTTTTTGTTTTACTGTTCTTTGTTCTGAGGTTTAAATCATCACTGATTTGTCAATCCTTTCTTTTGTTTCAGCCAGTCTTATAATAGGTAATGTGTTGTTTATCCTTTTCATCCATCTTATTCTTTTCTCTATTCATAGGTTACTTATCTTTAGTAGGTTATTTACTGTGTTTTTATAGTATGCTAATATGTGTTGAATGTCTAACTATTTTTCTGGTGAACCTATTTGTATTGGTGTCTGACAGCTTATTGGGAGTTTCAGGATTTATACTTTTATATATATATATATATATATATATTATCCCCACATTCTCAAACATCAAAAAGACACAAGTTTGCCTTTGCCTTTCCCCCCATATAAAATGCTTGTCACTTCATCTCACTGGTGTCTATGGAATTCTTTTTGGTCGTTGCAATTATTGGAATGTTTTAAAGGAACTGAGATGCTGTGCCCATAGCAGTCACGGAAAGTGCAAACAAATTGTGCTATTCGCGCATAAATAGACGCGAGAACATTTAAAGCTAGCTTAGTTGCTAAATGCCTAACATGGATTTTATTGAGAGAACAGAAAAATAGCGTAATTCGTTCGTCAACTAGATCCTATTAGAGGTGCACAAGTGCACTTAAGTCAGGTTTAATATCTGTGGTGGATTAGCAAAGTAGCATCGCACACAAGTGATCATCACTGAGAGAGGATGTGTAGCTTAATTAGTTATGAGTTAATTAGTCCACCATTTATATTACCATTAAAAAATGCCCAGGTCAGCTCTAAGAGATATAATAATCATAAGTGCTAATGTGACTGAAAGCCTAAATTAAATGTGTTCATCACAGGCCCAGATTGACTAATCGGGAGCACCGGGAGAAATCCCGGTGGACCGGTCCGTTTTTTGCCCGCGAGGGCCGGTGTCCCTAGCTGCTTGCACTCTCAGCAGTTGCACTTTTTTTCATTTATTTATTTATTTGACCATAGCCACACTATTTTTATTCATTATTTTGACGCAGCCCCGCTCATTTTATTTATTTTCTCGCAGCCCCGTGAGCAAAATGCAGCCCGCAGGTTGATGATGTAACCAAGGTATTATTCCAAACAGGGGGAACTTAGTGAATATTAATTAATATTAATGAATATTACACCTGCTCAATGAAAATCAGATGGTTCACTACATTAATAAATCTGACATAACTTGATCAGAAATCTAAAAAGGGGAGAAAAAGAGTAGACATCAATAGCAGCAGATAACAGTGCAGTACTTATTTTATATCCCGGACTTATCACCCTAACAGCGCCGTCTTGGTCTAGTGCAGTGGTCACCAAACTTGTTCCTGGAGGGCCGGTGTCTTGCAGATTTTAGCTCCAACCCTAATCAAACACACCTGAACAAGCTAATCAAGGTTTTACTAGGTATACTTGAAACATCCAGGCAGGTGTGTTGAGGCAAGTTGGAGCTAAACCCTGCAGGGACACCGGCCCTCCAGGACCGAGATTGGTGACCCCTGGTCTAGTGGTTAGCACGCTGCGTTGTCACGCCGCCGACCCGAGTTCGATACTCAGCAGGATAATTTTTTTTTTTTCATTTTTAAGACAAATAATAATAATTTGTTAAGACAAATAATACTGTTTGGGTTGCTTATGTAGGGGTACATTTTTGTGTGTGTGTGTGTGTGTGTGTGTGTGTGTGTGTGACACTGACAAAGGACAGGATATCTATAAAGAATAATTGTTCTCATATTTATGAAAAACATTTGAAGTTCTAAAGCAGCTGTGTCCTTGAAGAAAACATGTTAGTGTCATTAGAAACGGAATTGGAAATAACGTTATTTAAATTTAGTTGAGGTGGGCCGGTCTAAGGCTTGAAACTCCAGAGCTAAAAAGGAGTCCCACTCCGGCCCTTGTTCATCATCTAAAGCAGGGATGCTCAAACTTTTTCTTATGAAGGGCCAAAAACCAAACTTGATTAAGGCTAGTGGGCCTAAAGTAAATATAGCTGCCATGGGTAATTTTCTAATTTATTTAATAATATTTGAAAAATAACTAAAACACATTGCAACTAATACAGCATATATATTTTTTAGATTTTATACTAAAATTATTACCAGTAAAAAAAAAAAAAATTATAACAGAACGGAGTTACACTAGTTTTTGCCTCGATTTGCTCGTCAATGTCTTTTTCATAGTCCTCTATCTGTAGAGTGACAGTATTTACATTTTAAAAACTCAAATTAATTTATATTGTAGCAAAATAAAACAAACAAACAAAAACAGGTTAGGTAGAAATGACGATCTAATGACAAATTAGAATCTGACAATCTGTTAAAGGCATTGACCCAAACCACTCTATCATTCTCAGATGAGATGGTGGGCCAAATCAAAGGTTACAAGGGGCCAACTATGGCCCGCGGGCACTACTTTGGGCATCTCTGGTCTAAAGTGATGCAGAAGACATGGATTGAACCGCATTATTAATATGGATTCATTTTTGATCTCATTATGGATATTCTGAAGCATCAAAACTACACAAAGGCAGATCATCACGGATCATCATTTCTCAAGGGTGAGTAAACTCTGACACAATTTTCATTTTGGCATGACCCAGTCCTTTAATAACTCTATCTGCTGTACAGATAACAGGATTCGCTTTAAGCCAGTTAAAAATCGTTGCAGATAAACAACAATTTGAATTGAGTGTAAGATTAAGCGCACTGCGATATATACAGTACTATGAACCACAGAACCCTTTAATGTTTTACAGCCACAACTGCGCAATTAATTTTCTCCATTTTAGTGACACACCCAGCACTTTTACTTTGGCAGCGGCAGACAAACAGCTTAGCAGAACCTTTAACATTCATGACTAAAGCGTATCCTTAACAGCATCTTGCTAACTAGCTAGAGAAATGCGTAACTTGCATAAAGGTTAAACAATGACTGCCACTTTCTCACAGAAGTGTTTTGTGCAGTCGAGCGAAGCACCGTTTCAGAACAGACATCACCACACAACCAATAAAAAACACATTTTCCCATGAACAACTTTGATGTTTTGTGTCGAATGGAAATAACTACCATTGCATCTTTGTGCAGACTATGGATTATCAGTAGCTTGCACTACACAGTGAACTTATCTATCTATCTATCTATCTATCTATCTATCTATCTATCTATCTATCTATCTATCTATCTATCTATCTATCTATCTATCTATCTATCTATCTATCTATCTATCTATCTATATATATGTATATATATATATATATATATATATATATATATGTATATGTATGTGTATATATATATACATACATACTTATAGAATACATTTATCATTTAATGCACTGATGTCAGATATATTTTTGGAGTTTGTAAACTACATATCTTTAGCCCCTTTCACACATACAGACCTATCCGGAAATGTCTGTATGTGTGAACAGGCCTTTTTTTAAAATACTGGTAATTTTGTTAAGGCTATTTTGCAGAAAGAGAAGTTGTAACATTACTCGTAATTTGCCGGAATGCTGGTCTGAGTGAACGCAGAAGGAAGATTTCCGGAAAGAGCGCGTGCACATCTAGAACATGCTGATCTGAGACGCCTACTTAAGCCAATCAGAACAGTCAAACACATTCACGTCCGCGCTGTTTATGAAAATAAAAGCCTTTAAATATTTTTCCAGACACATTTAGCTGCTGGATGTTAGTCAGATAATGTTTATATGTTCTTTCTTAATGCCAATAGTGTAAATATTTATCGATAAGATGTTTATGATAGGCCGTTGTTTGTTCACCTTCAAGCTCTGCTTCCTTCAGTTGCTTGACGCGTCGCGTGTGCCCATGAAGGAGCCGGTGAACGCCAACGCACACACATATCATGTACATCTCGACATGCGAAAGTGTTCCTCCATATGTTTTCATCGAAGTTGTTCACAATACTTATCCATCCACAGAGTTGGTAATGTAGTCAAATGTTTACAAACACAAGCCCAGTTGTTTACAGCTCATTTTTGGTTGATGATGCCAGAATTTACTAGTATTTTGGAATTAATGTGTGAATGTTTTTTTCCGGAAAAATTTCGTAACGTCCTTGCCAGTGTAAACAGTGCTTTTTTTAATTTACCAGTAAAGTCGTTCCGAAAATTTTTACTTTACCGGTATCATTGTGTGAAAGGGGCTTTTGTCACATCATATATGCCCTTTGCGTTAGTTTACCAAATTACAGAGACCATTGCAACAAAAAGGTTGGGGGGGAATAGGGTTTTATATATTTATCTTTAAGCATGTACTCTATTGCAGAGATGCCCAAACTAGGGTCCGGGGGCCAAAGCTGGCCCTTGAAAACCATTGATTTGGCCTCCCATCCCATCTAAGAAAAGAGTGAGAATAACGGGGATGGTTTTGAGATTTTAATCCATGGGGACATTTAATGCAACCCTTTTTTTGTTTGCTGTTTTTTTTGTTTTATCGTTAAAAGCAAGCTGAACCTAAATGTTTCAAACAAATGGAGTAAATTATTCAGATTTTGTTTAAATGTACAAAATGTCACCCGACAATTCAGAGACTTTGGCGAGGAAATTAAAGGTGCTGTCTAGAAATTTTTGAATTTTCTTAAGGATAAAAATACCATGAGATATTTAAGACACTAAGTGAACACTCTTGTTGATCTCAAAAAACAATGCTAAAGTCAGTTATTTTGCTTTGATTCATTCCTTATTGAATTAATGAATGATTAATTAGCAAATAATATAAATATTAATTAGCAAATAATATAAATATTAGGAACGTAACCTTAGGTAAGCAGATTACATTGTAACCCCGTGTCTTTCATGCTACTTGACGAGATTTGCAGTGATAAGCAATTTGGCTGTTTGCACCAGACAAAACAGGACAGAAATTTAAATATAGTCATTCAGAAGAACAAAATATGCACTCACTCACAAAATGGTAGGGTTTATAATGCAATTAATACACATTAATTATCTTTAATATTAATAAATGTACATGCTGAATAACTGATATGTGTTGGCTTTGAGCCACAGTTCTAAAGTTCAATTTCAAGTGGTTTATATTATTTTCAAGATCTGAGGTGAACTATCTGCTGCTGCTTTCAGTAGTGTGACAATAAATGTCATGTAAAATGGCATTCAAACTCTTACATTATTAGCATTTAACACAGAATAATGCAAATGAGGTTTACCCGAGGTGATCATTGTTATAGTTTCTGTTGTTCAGCTGCAACAAGCAGAAGCCATTTCTTATACATCAATTCGAGGTGTTGGTTAATACCTTTTAATATGGAAAATATCCTATCGCATGACATAGCTTTTATTTAGAACACAGTTTAACTCATCCTTTAAGCCTCCTTTCCACTGCACACGACAAACGACAAGCGACAGACCGGAAGTCATTCATTTCCAATGGAGAGCAGTCTGGGAGCTGCGTGGAGTTCCGATCATCTCCGTATGCAGAAAATTCGAATCCTAATTGAGCTGCGGATCCGTTGAAATATTTGAACTCCTGCGACTAGACCGTATGCGACTGGCCGACCGGATGTAATGTATTCTAGTGTTGTACAAGCAGGTCCATGCGCACGAGATGAGAAATAGGAGTTTATTTGGTTATTTTTTGAATTATAAAAAGTCTATATTAAAAAAAAACATTTCTGTTCTTAAATGTAAGTAAGAAAGTAATAAAAAAAATATATTTTAATGTTGTCTCCACATTCCCTCCAATATTTTAGCGGTCTATGAGTTTCTAGTATTCATTCATTCATTAAACCATGTAAACGCACAGAGAATAAAGGCTCTTGCTTTTGCACACCTTTTTTCCGGACACTGAGAATCAGCTTCTCTCCCATGGTGCACAACAACACTGAAAATACTGTGCGGTTGCCACAAGGGGTGGGTATTCCGACAGTCATGTCCAAATGTCATGTTCAGTGGAAAGGGAGCTTTTAGGCTCGATAATCAGGCTTGCTCCTGTTAATCCTCAATCTGGCAACCTGCGCTTGCATTTGTTTTGATCCAGGAATGCAATACCTAGTTCAACCACTGGGTGTCAAACTTACATACTGCACCTTTAAGATAGGCAGATTCTGCTTGACTAGTGTATCAAGCACTGAACCCCACTGTGTTGTCATTTTAAAAGTAATAGTTTCTACTTATTTTGCAATATTATTTAAAAAATTAGGAAATTACCTGTGGTAACTTTAACGTAATGCAGTTTGGTATAATTATGTTCGGCCCACGGCTCTCAATGATATTTGGTTTTTGACCCTTCAGACTAAAGTTTGGACACCCCTGCCCTATTGCATATATCAAAGTCTGCATTAATTGTATTATATATATATATATATATATATATATATATATATATATATATATATATATATATATATATATATATATATATATATTAGTGCTGTCAATCGATTAAAAAAATTAACTAAATAATCGCACCTTTTTTTAAAAATTAATCGCGATTAATCGCATTTAAAATACTGAAACCTGTAATTTTGCCTATTTAAATGTTAAATTTATGTAAACGCAAGAAAAAAATATTTAAATTCAAAATATTATTGTTTAATAGAATTTTTGTTTAACTTGTAACACAGATTTCTTCATGTAAACAACATACCCACAATAAACCATCAAGATCCTGGCTTGACAGCCATATTTATTACAGAAATTAAAACACAGGCATGTAAATGACATTTAAATTTCGAAACAATCAATGCCAATAAAGAAAACATTGATTTCCATGTTGGATTCTAAGTGGACTGCAAAAAAATGCCAAAATACAGGAATTGCAGATATGGAAAATGAAAAATTATAATAATAAACTATAGAACACAAACTGTTGCACTCATTGTAAAGTTTTATTGCTGTGAGTTGAGAAGATTAATTATAGAGTAGAAACAATTTTGCTTAATCCTCCTTTAAATTCATCCAGTTGCTAAGACTAGGAGTATCCTGCAAGTACACAGAGACTCCCAAATGCCCGCAAATAAATGATAATTTCTTGTGTGGTCGTTAAATACATTGCACACCTCTCTCGCCCCTACTCAGATACGTCGCTCACTCCACCCCTGACACCCCTCAACGGGCCTGACACAGACACACACACAGACAGACACACACAACACGCTGCAGACGTTTTGGCCCCAACGGCCTTCCATACTGGAGCGACTCCCCTCAGATTCAACATGCATGATCACGTTCATCAAATTTGCTTAAACTAAGCGTCCTAAAGTATTACTGTATTTCACAAGGATTCTGACACAACAACGCGAAGCATACGCTTTTGTTGCGTTTAATGAGGAAACACGCTAAACTTGGAGGGCTCATGCTGAAAGGCAGAGTAATACCCTGTCTTTGACAGCTCGCGTCTTCACCAGACGTACTGAGTACATTTACGTAAGACACCAATACTCCGTTTTTAATATGATTAAGATAATACTCTTATTAAAATTCTACCGTGTAGCCTTAAAAGGAACCTTACCTTAAAGGAACACCGAGTCACAAAATGCGGAGGATTTTCTTTCTGTTCGCCATGCGGTATCAACTTACAACAGCTGTCGAAAGTTAAAAATGAAACACCCGAAATTGCATGAAACTCTGGATAACCTGTGATGCAACTAATTGTTTTATACTGGAACTTGCCTTCAAAAAGTGCTTCCTTGGTCTTATCCACATTTATT